CTACCAGAACAGGTAAAGACTAAAGGTAAATAAGCAATGATTTTCCTCATTCTTCCAACGCACTGTGTATGTGTATTTGCTGTATGCTACATGGATTGTTGAGATTAATGAATGTCTGTACAACTTTTGTTTTCCAGAGCAGAGCAGGAGACACAAAGAACCTTACGGGAAATGTCAGACAGTTTAAGGCGATCCTCCACTTCTGAGTCTGTTAAGTTGAAAAGTTTTAATTTTCCACAAACCATTTTTTTCTCTCCCCTATGTAAAACTAAATGTTTGCCAAACATTGTTATTTTCTGCACATTGTCGCTTTATCATCCAGGCCTCAGAGCGAGTAGACAGGAGGTTACAGCAGATCCAGGACGACATGGAGGCCCAGCAGAGGCAGCTGGCACGCAGACAGGAGGAGACAGTCAGCATGTCTGACAGACTACGAGAGGTGAGTCTGATGGCAGCACATACTGACTATCTTAGACATGTCTGTTTTAGCTTTCTTCTTTTTGGCTGGACATTGTCCTGTACATCTTAAACCTGGTGTAATCTGACATACTGATATTCCATGTAGGTGCAACCTTTCTGGCTATCTTGTATCTTTGTATTTCTATAAACATGTCTCAATGGCTGGGTACTTGGTGTGGTACTTTGTTGCTTTGTTAACTCTATAGTCTTTTGATCCTGTTGCTTGCTCTCAGAATTGATCAGCGTTCTGAAGTGTAAGCATGCATGAAGAAACTGCATGCAAAATGTCTTATGTGACCGTGTACTTGATAACTGGACCCATGCTACATTGTGTGTCCCTTACAGGCTGTCAGTGGCAACCGAACGGTATGAACACTCATTTACCTGGTGAAACCTGCAGACTTCAGACAGACAATGTCATAGCTGTAGACTTATAAGTTATAGCTTATTGTTGTGAGGTTGTCTGTCTGAAGGATGCATATAAATACAAATCTGCAAAAGCATGACTGACCAATTTTATATTGTGGTCTTCTCCACACATTTGTAAATGCATGAAACCACAGATCATCAACAAAAGCATGACTGGTCATTTTTAACCTTGTGATTTTCAAACCATCATGTTATCATGTAAGGCCAAGGTTGATGGTCGACCAAGCATTGAGTTATTATCATTACAGTTCATTTTGCATAGTGATAGACATAGTCTGTAAGTAGTTGTTGTTGTTAGATACTGAAGATATGAAACTGTCTTCTGTTCGCAGGCGTCTAGAAGGGCAGACATGGCTGCCGAATCAGACCGAATAATGCGAGAGCGACTAGCAGACATGGAATCCAGAAAGTCACAGGTAAAATCATGGCCCAATGCACACATTAGACCCACAAAACTGGATAAAGTCAAAATTATTTGCATTTTTTATTTTTATTTTTATCTTTTTGTAGCTAACTGCCTCTGTTCTTCTCTCTAATTCCAGGTTGAATCAGAACTGGAAGAAACCAAAAGAAGACTAAACCAGTCTGAGGGGGGAAGAGAAGCACTTATGAATCAGGTAAGAGATCATCAGGTGGCCTGAACAGGCTTGTGAGGCTGCCTGTCTGAAGGATGTACATTGTATTTGCACATTCAGCAGTTAAGGGTTGATCTGTAGAGCTAGATATTCATGATGAAAACAAAGTGTCCTTTGCAAAACTCATAACGACTTTCTGTGTACCACAGATTGAGGACTTGCGTGGTCAGCTGGGCCATGCTGAAAGGGAGAGAACCAAGATGAGGGACAGTCTCAGTGTGGCGGAGTCTGAACGGACACGGAGGAGACAAGAGCAGGAGGAACTGGCCAGTAGCAGACAGAGACGAGAAGGTACCTGTCTAGTCTAGTTTAGTCAATATTTTCTACCTGTCATTATCTAGAAACTCACCACTGATGATCTCCACTCAAAGCAAAACAATGCATGAAACAAGACTTGTCCACAGTCAGAATGGGTTGTTAGTGAAAGACGTACACATATTGATGTCCTAAAAATACTCAAATCTCACTAAAATCAGTAAAATTACTAAAGTAAATTTGTAAATGCACTTCAAAATGTCTATAAGAACATGACATTAAAGGAAGCATGCTGTTATAATGTGGCAACAAGTCCAACGGGGTTCCCATTTCTATTTCTAAGAAAGGACATGAAGCATGAAGAAAACCATGTAGAGCACTTTTAATATTTGCCTCTGACCTGTCCACTGCAAACCTCTAGCATACCAGCTGGATCCAGAAAGGGACGAACTCCTGGATGAAATCAGACGTCTAAAGTCTCAGGTCAATGACACTCGAGGAAATGCCAGGCAAACCATCATCTGTATGCAGTTCTCTTATGGTGTTCGTAAAATGTTCAGTGGTGATGGTTTTATAACAAAACGTGTTTCTAACATCTTTATAACAAACGTGTTTCTAACATCAAGTATAATCAGGCTAGTGAAGGATTCCATAACAAGTTGGCGTTAGCTGTTGAACGTGTAACAATTTTGTAATTGGTGGGAAAATTCTGGTGGCATTAAAGAATATTTAAATAGTAATGTATACTTTCAATGATATGCAATACGTTGATAAATTGTTGTTAAACTTCTGCATGATGTTGGTGTTATATAAACACTATTCCGTTCCATGTCTCTTACAGAAACAGAACATACCAAGTGAATGAAATTATTGTGTTGGACGGTAGTTTTCCATTGAGAGCTGATGATAGAAATAACAATGTTTTTTTCTGTTATTTTGTATCTTGACAATTTTGTTATAAGAAGGAAGAAGAACTTTATTGCACGACAATTGTACAGGGTACATTGTATGGCAAATAGGTAACAATAAGTAGCATAGTAAAATAGATAGGTATAGAATAAAACTTAACAACTTATATATAGAAGGATATAAGTATGAAAAGAGTTTGGCCTAGGTAATGTACTAAGAGTATGGTAAATGAAACGGTGATACCCCAAACTGATGACATGCTATCCCCCCAGCTGAACAGGCAGAGTCTGAGAGGAGGAGACTGGAGGATGAGATCCGTGAACTGAGAGCCCAGCTGAGCCGCTCCTCAGGCATCTCTGTGGTGGAAGAACTCAAACAGACTCTGGACAGGAGTGAGCGGCAGAGACAGCAGCTGTCTGACCATTTAGAGGTATGGTTTTTGTGTTGGTGACAGGATGAGACTGAGAGAATATATTGTAACTGTCATAAAACCTTAATGTTGTCATGAGCAGAATGCATTCAAATTGAGCCTGTTTTTTCACTCATGACCTGAAAATGGTCTGAGAAAGAGAGAGCATGCAGCCAGGGTGTTACAGGGCTCGAAATGCTGGGTGCATGTGCACCTTAGTGTACCCAAATTTGGAGCTGTGCACCCAATTTTTTCCTGTGGGTGCACCAGTGCACCGAAATATTTTTGTAGGTTTATGTATGTAAAGTTGTTTTATACTACTATACATTTAAAAATGTATAGTAGTATACAGCATATTCTTAATATCCAAGGGTCAAAAGAATCATTGTTATAGTACATTTATTTAGAAATGAAACATAATTAGTTTTTGTTGACTTTCTACTTAATATATGGTGCATCCAAAAATTTTTTGTGCACCCATTACCCAAAATGAATTTCGAGCCCTGGTGTTAGTAAATAGTCAAAGACTCATCATGATTGTATCCTTTCCGGTTTGACAGTCCCTGTCTAAAGATCTGGAGAAATCTGACAACAAGCAGGCCAGACTGATGTCCCAGCTAAAGGAGACGACAGAGCAGCTTCAGGACAGCGAGCACCAGAGAGAGAGCCTGGCCGTTCAGCTGGAGGATGCAAATAAGAGACTCAGGGTAGGAAACCTTCCACAAGTGCACAGCCAGATGTACATCTACCATTGGTGTGCAAGCTTTTGTTCACCATCATTTACAGATTGTCAGATCAGAGTATGGTTTGTAAAGAACTATGTAAGAGGTTTAAAACGTTAGCTGAAAGCTGTCCGACCTTGTCTTTGCTAACACTTCCAAAGTGTCTAATTGGTTTTTCTGAATTTATTTTCAAATTTTTGGTTTCTAACAATTCTGTGTTTTTGTTATGCTTTTATACAACTATATATTAATCACTTTATGAGACCTTGTACAGTGAGACCTTACACATTTGATCTAATATTCTTTTATTTAATGCCGCATGTCAAAGGGACCAGAACCAGTGAGGCATTGTTTTTCTGTCTATTCCTGTAACTTTTTTCTTCACTTGTTGTTTTGGGATTCAATTACTTCATTGATTGATTGACACAGACTAGTATAATAATTATTGTTTCCAGCTCTGTAAAGTCACTTATTTCTGTACCTATGTTCTTAAAATGTTAATTCTCCTTTAGTTCTGACTTTATTTGTAAACCTGCATTCTACTGGCTTTCAAGTTATTTTCCAACCTTGTTGTTAAGGTCTGTATGAAAACTTTTGATGTATTTTCAGGAAGTTACAAGGGAGTCAGATAGATGTGCAGAAGACCTCAGGACAACCAGACAAGGCAAGGAGGAGAGTGACAGGCAAGCTGAGGAGATTAAAAGCAAAGCTCAGGAAGCTGTCAGACAGTACGTTAACAGTTTCTTCTCATCTCATTACACAATGTGGCATAAAGTTGGTAAATAGATTATTTTTATCATGATAAGGGTATTACAGTAGCAAAAGCCTTTAATTCCTTATCAATGTCTGCCACAAAGTTACACCAGAACCTTTTGTAGTTGTGCCATTGCATGTCCAATGCAGGCAGTTCTGCCCCCTGCCATCTCCGTGCAGTATTGCAACTCCCTTTGACTGGAAACAAGTGCAAAGTATTGATGTCAATATATTTACCTTCGCCAAGAAGGTTATGTTTTCAGGGGCGTTCGTGTATGTGTGTGTTTGTGTGTGTGTGTGTCTGTCTGTAAACACGATAACTTGAGAAGGCCTTGATGGATTGTCTTGATACTTGGTAGGTGGGTAGGTCTTGATGAGACCTCAAAATGATTAGATTTTGGACCCCCTAGCGGCTTATTATGGTACTGCAGCTGAACTTCCGGTTTTGATATCTCATGATCTAGACATGCTATGGTATTGAAATTTAGATGGTAGGTAGCTCTTGTGCTGGGAAAGAAGTGACGTGAGTTTAGGCCCCCTAGCGGCTTGCTCTGGAACTGCAGGGATAAATTCTTGAAAATATTCAAAAGGGGATAACTCAAGAACCGGTTGACGGATCGTCGTGATTTTTGGTATGTAGGTAGCTTACGCGATGCTTAATATAATTATGTGACAATTATGCAAATATGGATGTAATTTGCATAATTTATGGGGAAATTCTATAAATCAGCTGCATTCCATGATAGGACAATTGAAGCTTGTGACATTGGTAATTGACAACGAGAGAAACACAGGAAGATATTGATTATGTTAAAAAGAACTTAATTTGCATAATTAATGAGAAATTTTTTATAATTATGTAATGATAACTGCCTGGAATTTCATACTTGTGGTATTTGAAAGTTAAATTGAGGTGAACATCATTAAACATAATTTATTGAAATCAGGACCTCATTTGCATAATTTATTAGGAAATGCTAGAATGCATTCTTTGCTAATATAAGACTTTTTGTCTTTTGGTTGAGATTATGATAAAACAATATAATTCATGAAAATTAGGTTCCTATTTCTTAAATCAGGGGGGAATAATCTAATCTAAACTTTGTCAGTCATAAAGATTAACATCATTTGGCGAAGGTATGAGATCGGGGAACTCTAGTTTTGTCATGTAATGTTATGTCGCTTTTCTGTCCTTGTCACCAGGGTTGGTTCTTTGTGATAATTTCCGACTGTTCTACGTGTACATCCATTGTATACTGTGTATGATGCTGCAGACAAACAAATGCATTAAAGACTTTGCTGAATAACAGGTGGAAGCTGAAGTGTAGGAAACTGGAGCGGGAAGTGGACCGTCAGAAACATGGTGCCAGTCAGATGCAGGAGAGGAACGAACAGCTAGTTAAAGAGAACGAAGCCATGAGGCAGCAAGCAGCTAACAGTAAGTACACTTGTAGCTAATATGCTACACAGGCAGCGAGGCTCAGAACTCAAAGTGCTGCAAATTCTCCTAGACTCTCAACATCACAACCCTGAACCCAGTCCTGGAAAATTTGAATCTCATTTGTAGCGTTTCTTTAGAAAGGACATTAAGTTGTTGGTGCCCTCTTCTTCAAAGCTAATTTGCAAGATGGATAATTTTAAAGAAATTGCCTGCATAATTGTTAAAATGTTAGTTCTAGTAGTTTTGCCATTCACTAAACTTTCTTGATAACCAGAATAGCTAACAACTGTTATACTGTTCAAGTTGATGTCACCATAGAGTGTGATATTATTGATTTTCCTTTTAGGTATTCATCAAATAGAGAGCCTCAGAAGAGAGATGGACGATGCCTTGGTAGGTGACAAAATCACTGTATATAATTCATTATTTCAGTTCTACCGCAAATATTTAGGAAAACTGGATGAATCTGATCAATTTGTTACTCCAGTAATTGCCATACTAAAGAAATTTTTAAAAGGTTGTTCTGTTAACTTTTGCAGAGAATACGAGCAGAACAGGCAGAGCAGCTGAAGCTCAGAGATGTGGAGGTAAAGACTGACTCTTAGTTTGGACAATCTTATGCAAACACTGATGTAAAGCTGGTAATTGTAATTTAAATATTTTGACCAGCATTCTAATCAAACAATGCCATAGTGAATCTGTTCATATGAGCATGATATTTTTGTGGTGCACAATCAGGTCAATGAACTGAAGGGGAGGAATATGGACCTGGACAGAGAGCTCAGGGAGACCAGACAGTTCATGGACAAGGTAAGACCATCATACACACATCTCTTCTTCTTATGTCAGTCTCTCGCAGACAGTTTTCTGGTTGTTTCAACTGCTGATAGCAGATTAACAGTGCCTCTGTATGCCCTCTTGCAGCTGGATAATGAACTGCAGACACAAACAGCTAGAAGTTCAGCTCTAGCAGACGACAAGAGAAAACTTGAGGAGGTTTGATCTTTGCACATATGAGCTAGAATCATTTCACTCATAACAAATGATTCTTACCTGTCTGTTACCATAGATGTATACATAGAGCAACTCAAATGATGCGTATGGCTTTTCATGATTCCTTGTCTATTGGTAGGAAAGAAGTGATTAATTACAGCAGTGTTGAACTTGTTGTTTATGTTCTCTTGCAATTACCAGGAAGTTTCATACACCCTTGGTACCAGTAGTTAGAGCATTATTTCCATTAACAGTGAGTGTGTGTGAGTAACAAGCCTTGTTGAAATTGAAGATTGATGAGAGTCATTAATTTGACCATGCTGGTTGAACTTCAGGAAGTCTCGCTAATGAAGGCATCGTACCAGCGGGCGCATGAGGAAACCATGCATTTACAGGTGGGCATGTTGTTATTACAGAAATCGAAACACATCGACTATGTCCTGCCTGAAGTTTTTTGAGCAAGTACCCCTCTTGCTTCCTTCTTTTTGAACTGTTGTGTTTTGAGAATGTGGTTACCCGAGAGAATCTTTTTTTTTTTACAAATATCTGTTACTGTGGTAGTGTGTGTATATGTGTGTATGTATTGCATGTGTATTTTTGCATGCATTAATGCATGTGTAATATCTGAGCTCTCTATGTATTCCCTACAGAAAGACATAAAAGACCTGAGTACCCAGAGGTTAGAGCTGTCCTCACAACTAGCTGAAGAGAGAACTCAAAGAAAGGTTAAAAGATTTGATTTACTCTTCTCAGTTGTACACATAAAAGGCAACCAGGAATTTTAGAAATGCACGCTTGTATGAGATCTACTATTGGCCATGCTATTTACCTAGAAAAGACTATGGTGGAAATTAGCAGCCAGAAGAAGTTTCTGGATTTTCCATAGTGGTTTCAGTTATGAACTTTTATTGCTGTCCTCCTTCCTAGTTCAAACATTATGTGGTTTAGCTACTTTTTTGTTCCTGTTTAGGCATTACAGAAAGCACATGGAGAAATGGAGGAGAGAGCACAGAGATCACAGGAGGAGGCAGGAACACTGGCCAGACAACTGGAGAAGGTCTGTATCTGCAACATAGAGAAGATTTTGATATAATTTCTCATGGGAACAATTGTTAAGTCATACTTGTGTAATATGTTGCAGAATATCCCAGGAAACTGTTTTGACTTTTCATTTTATCATTATGGAGATGTTGATCCTAACCTAAGATGATTATAGCATAAATTGTCTCCAGTGTCTGTACCACTGTTATTGAAGTGATGACAATTGTATTATAGCACACCAAACAAAGCTGCACTGAACATAGTCTTTCTCTCCCCAGGAACAAAAGACACATGTTAAGGAGGTTTCTGACCTGCAGACTGAGCTTCAAGCCATTAAGGTAAACTGGCAGTTCTAATCTGAACCTTGGTTATGGAGGCATAGGATTACTTCAGAATCTCATATAATATCTGGTCTTTGTTCAAATTTGTACTGACCGGGTTTTATCTGTCATCTGTGACCTCCCTATCAGTCTCATTAAAACTACCTTTATTCTACATAACAAGAGAGAAAACCTTTTATCTAACATGGTAGGATCATGCCCATTAAAGAAGCTTCTGTTTGGTACCAAACCATTTATATTTGCCACCCATCTTATCAGCAGCTGGAGAGATTTTTGTAGAGCTTGTAGTTGTCAATCCATGGATGTAGTGATTGTATTAGGTTGACATACACATATGTTTTACAATAAACTTCAGTGCTGGTGATCTCTGGAGAGGGCAGCTGTTCTTCATCATCCATCTCATACAGATGTTTGGGCCTGATGGGTCATGGAGTAGCCTAAATGTTCTTTGTACTAATTGTAGCATTCTTTAGAAATCCTGCCAACTGTTGTGGACAACCAGAAGTTGTGCCTTGTGTGAAGATAGAGGGTGTTGTGTTTCAAACTGCCATTCATACCCCATGCCTTGAAGCCATGAAAGCTTTGATGATTAGTGGTTTTTGTGTGTTCATCAGACCATCTGCAACATATTGTATTCAATGGAACATCCGTCAAGCAAATAAAATGCATAAACCTGACTACTGATATTGTGATAACCAGTTACCAGTGACCCATCCACAGTCCAGCACACACAGACAATATCACAAAGTCACCCTGTTGTCCCATAGTCAAGGGTGGACAATTTGACAGAGTCATCGGATATGACATTGTAAATTTTCCATAGACTGATTCAATTTTTTGTTATTGAATGCCCCTGATTCTGGTTTCAATTGGATGGCTGTCCAACTCAGCAGAACACCCTCGAGCCATGCAGTATCCCATGGAGCATTCACATAAACCAACGTTACGTGTACCTTATCTTTATATATGGGGTGCTTAATGTGCCCATTGCTTTTGAGTACAGACATTATTTCCTTGCTTAATGATGATAGAACAAGCTTTGTCATTTCCTCCTTGAATGGATGATTGGTAATGAGTATTTTCTGTAACGTTCATGGTAATGGAAAATGCCATCAGGAATTACTTGCTAATTGCTATTATTGATGGAATCAGTAGAGTGAAAGATAAAGTAACCTTCAATGAAGTATGCACGGCAGAGTCAAAGATAAGCACTTTGCAGAAGCAATTAGAGGGAATGAGGGCACCTCCGTGGAATCACACATTGATTGGCAATTAGGCACAGATGTGCCGCTGGGTGTGTGGTTCCATCAGGAGTGTAGCAGATTCATGTAATAGGAAAAGACTGAAATGTTCAGCCACAGTGTTCCACAAAGAATAACATTGCCACTACAGAACTTTGTCATGATATGTCATCCATCTGACTTAGGAATCTCAGTGCTTTGTGACTGTATAGTTATAATGCACAGATTTGATTATTAACATTACCAATATGTCCAACCATTGTGTCTAACATGGGAACAAATCTGCTCATTTGTTACACTTCTCAAAATTCTGCAAGTCTGGGTGAGATAGGCATTAAGTTACTGGTACATGTAGTTAAATGCCAAATACTTTTGGTGATTTTGTCATATGCAAGGACTGTAACAATGCAGAGAGAATGAAGAAGTAACCTCAGCTGTTTCACATCTTGTAGAGTCGAGAAAGTCGAAAGGAGCAGGACCTCATCAGGAGAGCCAAGAGGGAACGGGCAGAACTGGAGGCTGAGATTCAGACTCTAAAGGTGGATTTTGTCATGTCAAATATGTACTATAATTTAGTATAAACATGTACATAATACATAAACACCCACACAAGAAGATGCGCTTGTTTCATTTTTATAGCAGATTTGAGTTTGTTAGCAAGAAATCACTACACTATCTCATTTTGACATGTTTACTTTTTGCATGCACTCATGGATTCTTGCTTTACTTTGCACCCTTGTGGTTTCTGCACTGTAAGTACACATGTATTTTCCTTACGCTCTCCCTCTTCAGTTTACATGTACATTACACAACATGTACATACATACAGAATACATTATGCCACAACCTCCTGGATTTAAATATTGATATAAGCTCCTTGATTTTTGGCTCCAAAAGAAATAATTGATGCAAATTGTATTTCCGTGTACAAGTAGAATTTCATCATGCCTACCCAGGTTTGATGCACATTTTCACACAGATGCAAATTTTTATTTTTGGTCAGTTAAGACTGACAACTTATACATGTAGTTAAAAAGTGATGATTCCTGTTTAGTGAATGTTTTCTTTGCTCCTCAGGTTGGTCTGGAGGAGGAGCGTGCTGCTGCCAAACTTCTGAAAAGACAGCTGGAAAATGCCCAGAAAGACTACAACACAGCAAAGGAGGAATCAGATAGGTAATCCTATCTCAGGGGTTCCTGTGTTTTCAGGATTTCTTTTTGATACAAACTATCTGCACTGCAATGAGGGGCCTGATGATCAATGATTCATTTCAGAGCACAGGAGTGAATTTGAATTTCTTAATCATTACTTTGTGATACTAGGTTAGGATATGCGAATAAGCTCATTTTTGTGAACTTAAAGCATGCAGAAAGTTCAATAAGACTCTTTTGCAACTTTTGCCTTTATCTCTATTTTCAGACTAGAAGAGCTGAGTTCCAGACTTCAGAAAAAATATCAGAGAGCTAAGGAGGACATTCAAGAGAAGGTACTAACAGTTTCACTTAAATGTAGTTAGGATACTTACTCTTGGAACAGTTGAAAATGTCTTTTTTATGTCATAGCCAGGAAACAATAACGTTCAATATGGTTGTTCCAGCCCGTGTGATAACTAGCAATATCACCCTGATGTAGAGTAGGATAGTGAAAAGTGACTCTAGAAAAATAGTAAAATGTCATTGAAAAGTAGAATGACTGATTAATGTCTTGCTGTTGTCCTTACTTCCAGGAGCACCTTGTTGCAGAGGAGGGAGATGCAGTGAAGCAGCTGGAGGAGCGTCTGTCGTCTGTACGAGACAAACTGGCCTCTCAGGAGGAGGGACAGGAGGTGAGCACACCAGCTTTGTCCACTCATGCCAGTAGTCTTTACTCAGTACACACACTTATACACTGATAGGGTTCTTATCATGCAAGGCCACTTGTACTGGATTTTTTATGATTGATTTTGCCTGTTCTTTTTAAGAAATATCAGCCCTTGGCCTGATCAGGATGTAGATGGCAATTTGAGACCTTAATTTCTTACATTTTAGTAAAATGTTCTTGTTAATAGAAAAGTTGCTGCAAGCCTTTCATAATAGCATACGCAAGCATTTCCTAGTGTTTACGTGACTTCCTAGTATCTTCCATCAATGAAAACATTAGTAAGAACTGTTTTCTGTTCATTTTCTGCAGAGATTACTGCGCCAAGTTGGTCGAGAGCTGGACACTCTGGTTGACATTGCAACTTCTGACTCAGAGGTCAAGTTTCAGGTTTGTGCCATGTCTTGTTATTTTGGGCGTTAGTTTAATTTTGTGATTGTCTAAACTGCCCGAAGAATTTGATATACTAGTGCTTTTGAGATACTTGCTAACACTGAGCAACCTTTATTTTGACAGGCTCTGTCCTCCTCAAAGGGGCTCCACAGTGATCCACAGAGGTGGCTGGCAGACATCACAGTAAGTCCTTGCTATGCCACATTTCAGCTTGATTACTTGAAGGCCTGTACTTGCCAACTACTACATTTTGCTGTAGAACAGCAGCATTGTAAGCGTTTGTTCTGTCACATAGAATGACTTGTGACAACCCGTTCCTCCTGTCCACAGAGCAAGTTGCAGTGGCTGAAGGAGGAGGTGCGACTGCGGGAGGAGAGGGAGAGACGTCTGCGGGCCGAGGTCCAGAAGAACAACGACAAGGTCAAGGAGGTCATCCGGTCTACGGAGGTTGATAGGGACTACTACACCTCGGAGATCACCAAACAGAGCAAGCTGCTTGACCAGATGTCCAGTGAAAGACAAGGTAATGGGAATGTATTGTTAACTTAAGTAAAGTAAGTTCAACTTTACTTGTGAGGATATGCTGGGCAGGCCAGACTCAAACTCTTAACTTTTTTATAACAGGAAGTTCTGTTTTAGTAATCTTCTACAGTACTGTTGTAGGTTATAACTTTTCACTGAGCTCATATATATTTGCCATAATCTTATTTTGCAGATCTTCTTGACAGGACACAAGAGAAAAATGATATTGTCAGACATCTTGAGGTGAGGGAAGTTTTGCTGTGAATGAATTATTGTTCCTTATAATTCCTTTCCCAGTATGTGTCAGACCCATGTAACAAACTGCATATCATCCTGTTTTCCAGGGACGAGTGTCTGAACTGACTCATCGGTTAGAAGAGGTGAGAAATGTTGCCTTGTTTTGGAATGTCATTTTCTCAAAGTTCTTCTGTACAATAACATAAAAAGCTCCTTTGAAGTGAAATGATGACTGTGCAGGACCAGGAATTATGAAATCCTTAGAGACTTTAGTGCTAAAGCTTTCAGATATTTCAGGGTATCTAATGGAGTGGTACAAGCTATATTTGTCCATGTTGGTTCCTTCTGCTACTAGTACTGGCAGAATAATGTAGTAGTTTCTTGAGTATAGTATAGTGTTGAACAGTTTTGTGGATTATGGCTAGCTTTGTGTTTTAAGTTAATAAATAATGAACTTAGTCTAGCTTATTCTGTTGTTGCACATGTTTTTGCACATCACTGCACTTGCTTGCACATCTCATAGTTTGTTAGTTAGTTTGTGAGTTGTCTGGAGGTTTGTACTAACCCCCCTGTCCTCCCGCTTGTTCACCGCTTTCCTCACGTGCTGCCGTGTGCTCATAGACTTTGAGACAAACGCCAGGGCCCAATGACAGGCCCCTGGCTGCCCAGCTGCAGGACCTGCAGGTTTGTGTAGTGCCATGTTTGATGCATGCCGTGCATGGACCCTCAGTGGTTTGGTGTCAGTAATTGAATAATTACCATTCTAGATTTAGACCTTGGGCCATACTATGGTAATTTTGTTCCTGTCAGAGTAGCGTATGCAAAAAAAGAGCATTTTTTTCTTTGAAATGGGTAGTTGACAAAATTTCATTTTCTCTCTAACCTATACTAAAATTGTACCCCTAGGATGTATGACATGTAAATTGTAATATAATGGTCATAGCTTGTGTTGTCTTACCTTCTTCAGGGTTTGATACACATACAGTGCTATTTTTCAATGTTTGATACACAAACATTGAGCTATTTTTCCAAATGTTAAGAAATGGTTTCAAGACAAAAAGGGACTCAGATTAGTTTAGCCCAAGGTTAGAATCTCCCTTGCATGAGGTGTGAGTTTAACCCAGTCTGAAGTTTTGTGAAGTGGATGCCATGAAGAGATTTTCCTGTATTCAGACCTGTTCTAACCCTGAAGTTTGTGGTGGTGGGACAACCTGATGTTAGCCACTCTCTCTAACAAGTCTTATTTTGCAGGAGTCACAAAAACAAAGAGACAGAATCCAAGAAAGATATGCCATGTGAGTATAACAATTCTCATATCTTTTCTGGTGAAAAGTACAAATGTACAGCTTTCAAACTTGTTGTACACCTATTTCCCAAACCAATTAATGTGGACCTTACAGGAATCTTGTTACATTAACAGGACAACATTGAGGTTTTAGAACCATGTACAATGTAGTCATTTATAGCCTGGCCTGTTCTTGTAGGTACAAGGAAAAACTGGGGTCTCTCCAGTCTGAACTGAAGGGTGCCAGAAAGGCTGCTTTTGAACACAAGGTGGGTGTTAATTGTGTCCAATATATAATGAGTTATTGATATCAGAAGTACATTCAACTTGTCACTAGATATGCAGTAAAATGGCATTTGATAAGGTTTGCCTGTATCTTTATTTCTGTCAGAACACACACACAGTGTAGACACACATGTAGGTGGCTACAGGTAGTGTTCAGTATCTCACAGATGTCGAATTCATTGCATGTGTAAAGAATTCCAATGAAGTCCTACCATGTCTTGTTTTGCTTAATTTTGTTTGTTTGTTTACCTGCAGCAAGCAGAGCTGGATGCCAGCCTGCGGTCGGCACGTTTGGCCGGGATGAGCCCCACAGCGTCACCAATCCCCCGGCGGGGTCGGGTCAGGGTCAGCGAGAGTCCACCAACATTACTCAGGTACATTTGCACAGGCTCCATACCCTCACTTCTCCTGCTTACACCTCATAAGTCATTAGTAGGATGTAAGATTAACACTCATATTCTACAAGTCATTAGTGCTGTATTTGTTGTGTAATTTTTATGTTTGGAGTATTTAGCTAGTTGAATAAGGAATTTTCCAGCTGTTTAATTGTATTTTGTTGGTTACCTTGTATTTCATTGTCCAAAACACTGTACTCGTTGTAATCTCCTACAATGTTCTGTTTAACAGGGCTAGTAGCTATAGATCAAGGTCACCTGTGTTATACTCAAGGGCAAGGTCACCAACCAGATCACCAAGGTCAAGGTCACCCATCAGATCCAGGTCAAGGTCACCAGAGCCAGGTATTACAACATAACATGTGCAATATGTAATTAATCACTGCTTTTATACATTTGGTATTACTAATGCTGAATATACATATCAAGTCTCAAACTACCTGTCTATGTTACCTGCCATACTGCAAGTTGTCATTTTCTGTGTCTGGTGTGAATAGTGTTTTTTTGGTTTACAGGCAGCACCAGGAAGCCAGCAGCAGATTCCATTCTATCTCAGAACAGAACATCTTCTCCTGTGGAGGTATGTGCTTCCAGCAGCAGGGCACAATCAAGTATCCAGTAAATTAGATTATAGTACCATCCAAAATGGCTGAATTTTTTTTGTGTGGGGGGGGGCAAATAGTTGGGGTTTTTTTTGTATGGCAAACAAAGTGTACACACAATACAGCCAGTCAGGAAAATTGTTGTTTTTCTTAGCCTGAAAGGTTCTTACCAATTGAACCTGAAATCCATCCATTCTCCTTGTTAACTTCAGCCATGTGCTGACGAGGTATATTGATGTGTGGAGTAGACTCAACCTGAAGACGGATGGATCTCAAGTTAATTGTCTAGGATGTCTTCTAGATGAGTCCAATTTTCCTGACTAGATGCTGTGTATGTTCACTGTTGGTCTTTTGTGCTCTGAGTCTGCACTGTTTAGACTTTAACTTTAAGCCCTCTCTTTATCAGACCCGTAGTTAACTAGGTCAGCCACACTATCCTGACAAATATTATTACATAAAAGACTCTCATTTCAAGCTGTTAGGTGCATTGATTTCTACTATCTTTCACCAGCAGCTGTGGAAAGGTGTTTTTATCCAATTCTGTGAAAATGAGCCCCTCTGTAAAGGCGAAAGCTGTTGCTTTTGTTTTGTTGCCATTTAGTTTATTGCAAAATCAATGATGTTGATTTAATGCATTCTTGGCACCAACGTCTTGGTGAATTGCTACTGAGACCTATAGCTGAGATGTATACTTGTAGCTTTTTATAAAGAGTTTTAGATATCGTTTGAATGTAATTAAATACACAGGGCATAAGATTCCCAAGTCGTTTGGTAGAATAAGCAGGTGTCCTCATTCTCCTAATACCCTGGACTTGTTTTCCAGGCCCTCCATGACAACGGGAGATGACGGTGAACCCTTTATGCTTCTCTAGGACTCTGCAACCAGGGACATCATCAGGAGCAGTTTTAGTGGAGGGGGACAACTGATTTTATATGGTTCCAGCTGTTACCACAAAGATGAAGCTGGATGTATTTATGTGAAACGATCAAATGGATGTATTTATGGGAAAGGATGGCCACATAGTACCAACAGCAGTTATTGATCCAAGAACTCAAGAGATTATTGTATATTTTTTTTGTCAGAGAAGGAAGTTTAACAGTGGAGAAAAGTGTACGTGTAGGTGTGTATTTGAATGGATTTGAACAGTGTCAGGGCTTGACTGCCTTAACATTGAGGTACTTCTTGATTCCCATTGGACCAACATATTTCTTTTTCTTCATACCATAAACAGCAGGGATAATAAAGTAAAAAATCAAAACACAAATAGTACCCACATGTACTAGAATTTTCTCCTCAGTCAGTAAATGTACATGTATTAGCAAATGAAAATGTAGCATATAGAGATAGGAGCCTGTGGACAAGTCAAGTTTACTTTATTGTGCCCATGAATGATACTAGGTTCTAAAGGACAGACACTTCTGTGCAAACATCCAATCCTGTAGTATGTAATGCATCAGAAGAGATTTCGTGTCCAGAGTTGTCTATGCATCAGGCAAGGTACTAGTACCTGAAGGAACTGCCATGCTGCTAGAGTTGTAGAAACCCTTTTGTACAAGTCATGACAAAACTTGTTTTAAACTTTCTCAAAATGTGGAGCAATGTTAAGTCATGCTCCTGTTTATAGTGTTAAGTAGAGATTGTGTAAATTATTGTGTGAAACTGTTGTGTAAGTACATGTATGTTCCTATGTTGAAGTGTTGTCCTATTGATGCAAGTATTCCAGTAACCAATGCTTACTTTATGACTTCTGATGTGCCATTGCTATGAATTCTAATCAGTATTGTATCTGTTCACCTTCTACATGTAAGAAGTCCTAGGTCCTGTAGTTGTGTGCCAAAGCTAAGAGACCTTTTATACAACTTTGTTTTTATTCCTACTCACCACCAGTGTATAGGCCACCATTATGTGGCTGTCAATTTTGTGTGTCAAAAGGTGATGTTCTACTAGAAGTAATAAGTAGGGTTTGTGGTTTTATAGTACTTTTTATTTTTCGTCAGCACAACCAAGAGATAGTTTGACAAGGTGAACAGCAGACTTCACCTGCTCCATGCCTCATGCATGGACTGTGACTGTATTTATTCCTGAGAAGTCGATGTAGACTATGCAGTAGGCTATTTTTACCTTGTTGGTGTATGCTGTGTCCTTCCCTTTCTTGTCACATGTATATGAATTATTTCTGAGGAAATTATATCATCTAGAACTGCTATACATGGCCATTAGAATATGAAACAGATGATTAAACACACCTCTTTACCTGGAAACTCTAAAAGAAATTATTTCAGCCTTTGTGGACATATGTTTTTGAAGAAAAATGTCTACCCCACTTTAAAAGCCCTGTTGATACTTTGATGTATGTTAGTCCACCTCACACCACTAACATTTTCTTTGTGGAATCATCATCAGGCTTCATGCAGCCCTGAGAACTATTTCTGTTAGACAGGAGAGAGTCCAGTTGTGGACGGATAACATGGCTGTGGCCTGTCTTATAGTACTACACCAAGGTATAACTATGTTGCCAAAGGAGACAAAACCAGTCTTCATCGATCTTCGTAAACCCTTTATTCTTGCTAAAAGTTTGGATGACAGTGGCAAGGGAGACGGCCTTGCATTAACGCGTACACAACAGCAGCTCTGAGACTTGCCACTTTCTCATCTGCACCCCAAGCGTTTTACTGAAGTAAGCGTGTAATAAGCGAAGCGGATACAAGGTAGTAATATTTTGCATTAGCTATCACTAGCACATTTCTACAAAGTTGAACTCGGTTACTAGTTAGGCGATGTCAGCCGTCGCCAGGTCGCCTCAGGGTTCAACGAAGTTACTACAGAAGGCGTCAATCCCCGCTCCGATGTACTCGTAAGGAGAGTTGGGCCCGATGCCGTGACACTCCTCCTTGCACCCAAGCCCGTTCCAGTTGGAGGTCTGTTTCAGAGAAAAGGAACAACAAAATCAGATGACCAGTTTAGTTGAAAGACTAATCTAGCTGCACCGCCCCGTGCGTACGTAGTTCAGAGGCAAGCGGCGGTAATCACCAAACAGATAGGGATGGGAAGTCGTAAACGTTTCCTCGCTGGCCCCTTGAAGTTTGTCAAAATTCAAAAAAGCAGCCCTCCTAGCAGAAAAAGGTCTTTATACAGAAATTAAAACTCCTCATCGCGTGAACTTCAAAAAGCCATTAACATAGACTACGTGCTATATAGAAATGGTTTGATCCTGACTGATTGACCTCCAGCCTGGTTTGCCTGTCTTTTACGTCGCATTTACTGACATTCCCCATGCGCACATAGGCTGTGGAGGACAGGAAAGAAATATTTCTGAAACACCAGGGAAACCAATATGCAATAAAATGCCTTAGAAGTACTACAACTTAACAGACCGGTGGATCTGGTATATTGGTGATTACTATAGCTACTGAAGAGACCTACCGGGAACCTCTGACTGCACTCCAGACACTTCATCAGACATTCAAACGTGTTGGTCATGACGCTGACGCTGCGGGACGACACAACACACACCGCGGCCAGGAGACACAGCACCACTGTCAGCCGGACACACATCGCGTATCTTCCACGTCTCCTGGATACGTTGTCTGGTACGATATGTGAAACAAATATACTAGTACTTTAATGGACAAGGCGTATATCTTATGAACAGTTGAGCCAAATTGACTTATTATTCATAAAACTGACAGGGCCGTTACTCTGGTGTTACAAATTTTGTATCTGTATGGCCGGTATATATTGACATTTCTTCGGCCTTTTGTCATTGGCTTCGCTTCGAGGGTAATCTTGAGTTCACTCTTATTGTGCCAAGGGCTTTGTAATGTCATTTTGTTTATGCATGATAGTAGCATTGGGTATAAAGAAGTGGAAATAGGCCAAAATGAGAATACATGATCTCGTCCGATACTGTTTGGAGATATTTCAAGTCGTCCAATCTGTGTGGCCTGTGTCTACTCCACTTCACCGTTGCTCGGCTTCGTCTGATTGTGTCCTATCGTCTCATGTCCTACAGACGCTCTAGTTGCTCAGCACACATGCCCCAACAAGCGTTTAAAACCTATTGTAGATGTGGGGAAAGGAAAAAACGCCTCCAGACTGTACCAGTCCCCCAAAGAAAGAAACCAATAGGTCTAATGATAATGTAGAGATATATCCATCAGAAATGGAAATAAGACATATTTGGACTCATTCAGTGTGTGATCAGATGAAAAGAAAAGGATGTGACACTGTTAACGTACACCGCACTGCCACTACTTTGAGGGATCAATCGATTCTTATTCATAAAAGTGACATATTGACATTTCACATGGCCTTGGGGCGCAACTCTACCCTGTAAAACTGTGAATAACATGACAAGTGACGTACAAAAGCCTTCTACTTTAGCAACATATCCAGCCATGCTTACCTTTGCCGGGAAGTTACGAGGATAGTGGAGTGTGGTAACTGAAGGTGGGACGTCGTCACGGTGTGGGAACCACTGATGATCTGATCTGCACAGGAGCGTCCCGCAACTTTATAACGGTGACGTACATGTATCATCTGGACACGTGTATAGAAAAACCCGTGACGTCAGACCCACTCTTGGTGGCGACAGATGGACCGTCAGGTGATTCGGTTCCCACGCTGGTTGGACGAATGGTATGTGACGTCATTCAGAGGGGCGGAAAGAACGGACCCAGTCTATTTGACTTGATGGCTCACTATTTGATATTCTCTGGCAGTTCAAATCCAATTCTAGGAAAATGTAGCCTTCCTCAACTCTTCCCCCTATCCTACTCGTAGCCTTCCTCAGCTCTTCCCCTATCCCACTCGTAGCCTTCCTCAGCTCTTCCCCCTATCCCACTCGTAGCCCTCCTCAACTCTTCCCCCTACCACCCTCGTACCATTCTTCAACTCTTCCCCCTACCCCACTCGTAGCCTTCCTCAACTCTTCCCCCTACCCCACTCGTAGTCTTCCTCAACTCTTCCCCCTACCCCACTCGTAGTCTTCCTCAACTCTTTCCCCTAACCTGGGCAATTTAGGGGTCGGACTGCCTTGATAATGTGTGTTTTTCATGATTTAGGTAGGTGCTTTTCGACAGCTTGTTTCTTAGATGTTTACTATTCATATGTCAATGGGAGCTCGAAATAGTGGTCTATGCCCTGTCCACGTTGGGAAGGTGATCAGATTAGCCGCCAGGGCTCATATTTTCCTGAAATCGTTATTTGGGTAAATAAGCAGGCGTCAGAAACTCAATTGAATCCTTTGGTGACAATGCAATATGCCCTTTTTAAAATGTTTAAAAGCAGTTTAAAAGCAGTTTTGAACAGGCTCAGAGGGCAAGAATGAAGAGATAGAGATAAAAGAGATAAAAGAATACATTTCTGTACCAGACATGTATATTATGGATTTAATGACACCCTTTCTATATTAAAGAAAATACATCACTGTAAATGGCCTTCCTGCAGACTGTTGTTTCATTAGCTCTATACAGCTGGGATTATGTCCTAGATTGGGATAATCTCCAGGTCGGCGAGGAGGATCATTAGCTGGTTCTCCCATGCAGTCAGACCACTAAGTGCATCTTACACATTAATTACTGACGGACAGTAGAAATCCTATCGCGCCTTGGTTGGAAGACTGTAAAGACTATACATCAACAGCAAAAAGCTCTGCTGGTGTATAAGGCTTTGAGAAATGCACTACCGACGAGTCTTCAGCCTGAGAAGGGATGACGTGGCACGGAACACCAGATCAGCTTCTACTGACTGTCTCATCCCTCCGAGGCCGCACTTGGAAGCTTACAGAAGAAGCTTGGCTTACTCCGGCTCAGTGGTATGGAATAACATCCAGCCCCACATTAGGGCAGCACCATCCATCCATACCTTCAAGTCACTTATGGATCAGGCATAACTGGGACTCACCATGGACTTGAATCGGCTACGAACCTAATGATTTATTTGTGAACTTATGCATTTACTTATTGTATTGATTTCATTACTTATTATTTATGTTTGTATGGATTTAGTTTTTTATCCGTGACTCCTCCCCTCAACTTCGACCTTGTTGAAAAGCGGCCTTGCGCCGAACAAGCATTCGAAGGAAAATAAAGGCTTTGACTTGACTTGACTTGACGGCTCTGTGGTTTATTTCAGCTTCAAGGACAGCAATTGGCTGACATGATATGGAACAAGGTCTGGTATAAACGGTCAACAAAGTGGGTGTCGTCTGTTCCTTTCTACAATGGGAGGGAAACCTCTCATATCATTTTTGTCAAAAGACTTCACTGTGTGGCAGATTTGACATGAAATACAACACCACACTCAATTAACACCCTAAAGATATCGACTAGGTTTAGAGTTTAGTTAAGACGGTATCCGCCTTCCGATGAGGAACGTTTTCTCTCTCCAGCTCCCAGTATGAAGTGGCAGAAGTCTCGCGGAACCAGAGCCGGCAGTCTCTGGGTACAGAAGTTCACACACAGTTCACCGCCACCTCTCTCCTCCCATAGCAAGGTTCCCTGGGAAAGGATGAAAACGGCAATGCCATGTAAGCAAATCTCCTACTCCGCTCCTCGACCAAAATTGTTCAACGAATCAATAACCCTCAAAAAGCCGCGAGTCTGGACTAACAGGTTTACCAAGTCATCACTCACTCATGGGGATACTAGTCAAGTTGGACTTAAGCTGATAGCACGGCGCGTTGGTATTAAACTACTAGTATATGTTGAAGTTAAGATAATAGTACAAGTATACGTAGAATTTGTCCAGAGTTTCACTCATTACAACAGAAAAGACGGTTGAAGAAGCTGCAAGCTCGCTAACCACCAGAGCATGACGTACCTTGTGCAGTTCGTTACAGCCCAGACACAGCAGTGCGCAGGTCGTGACGTCAGAGATCCATGTTCTGGCGAAGGTGCCAGAAATGAGAAGCACGCAGACTGAGAGGCACAGGTGCACCTTTGAGGTGGTCATCTGTACGGAGACATTACAGAGACACCATCAAACAACAGTTAAAAAAACAAAATAGAAAAGGACGGAGACAAGAACAGCATTGTGCTACACTTAAATATACGGACGCTCCACGTTTCACAAATCTTCTTCACGATGCTAAAAAGGGGCTGAACAACGCAATGGTGCGCCAAAGTCCCGCCTTTACCTAAAAATCACAGTTAAAAATAGGTACAGGCGGTAGCAACGACAGTATGGTTTGCCTAACATGTAGAC